AAGCCATGGCAGCCTTTCTGTAAGATGCACCCCTCAACAGAATGTAACACAGAAGACCCATGATCCCAACCTGAAAAATACTGAATCAAATGAGCAGAGCAGTGTGACTCTCAAAAAAAAGAAAAAAAAAGAAAAAAAAAAAGAAAGAGGAAAAACAGCAATTCCGCACCCAATATGCAGCCATGAAATGTTTGCCTAATCCCTTCTTAAAGTCACTACTACAACTGCATCTACCAAATGAAGAAAAGGTTTCAGCAAATACCGGCCATAGTGAGTAGAGAAGAATTAAGGCATAAAAATTCCCGAGCTCCAACCAGGCTTCTGTATGTCTGATCAACGTTAGTGTTGCCCCTATAAGAAGGAGAAACACTGTTTCTGCCTTGTTGAATTTTCTCAAAAACGTCGTGGGCAATTTTTCATCTGATTCCTTTCCCTGAATTAGAAGCTGCTGTTCCCAAGGGGGAATTTCATGGCACCAAGCAAGATAACAAGCGAAGACACAAGCAGAGGCTAGATTGAGCATGGTTCTGGCGGTACGATTCATTTTCTCTCCGGAAGAAAATGTGTTTAAGATTTGAGACATTGCAATAATCGTGGTTTGCGAGGAGATTAATTGGTTTTAAGCTTGTTGACAAAGCTTTCATCGTGATGGTACCTATTTTTTTACCCGTTATTGGACGGCAAAGAGGAGAAAATCAAAATACATGCATTTTCTCGCAGCAGAAGACAAAAAAAAATCTGCCATTAAAGGAACCAAATTCCACATCGACTAGATGTCAGAAAACAATGTTCTTTATAGAACTGGAGAGGGCTCACTTTCATCGCCGAGCTCGGTAGCAGGAGCTTGTAACCCAAGCGGGGGCCTCGAGGTGATGGGACGCATGATCTGACCGCTGGGCCGGGTCTGCGATGGCTATTTTCTGGCCTGCCCGTTCCAAGCCAGGAGTTGATACATGTGGCCCGTGCGAAGGCTCGGGCCACGTTCTTCCTAGAGTGGAGGGGTCCGCGTGAGGCTGGTTTCACAGAGCAGCGAAAACCTCCCGCTCCTGGCGGTGGAAGGATTACAGGCCGGTGTCACGCAGGCCCAACATGGTTCCGTGGACTGATCCTGGCTGGACCATCATCTTTTTCAATTTTACAAAAAAGGACTTCCCACTGGGCCGATCCTAGCTGGTCCACCACTTTTTTTTTGTCCTTTATTATTATTACTATTATTAAGTTTTTGTCCATGAACTTCCACTATTGTTGAGGCAAGCCCCTGGTCTTTTAGATCTAAGAGGCAAATGAATCCAAATTGTTAATTACTAAAATGAACTTTCACTAAAACCATTTGTTCTACGGTTGAACATGAAAAAAGTCGTTTGCAACGCAGTTAGTGGGCCAAGGTGATTGTAGTCCCGACAATCTGAACTACAAAAACACCCATCTTTCATTTTTTTTTCTTTTTTTTTTTTTGGTACATTAGGAAAACATTAAACTAAAAAACTAATAACAGGTGTAGAAAAAAAGGCAAAAGGTACCCGTTTGCCCCTTAACTTTTCAACTTTGAGGATTTTTACCCTCCATATTACAATACATGGATTTTTGCCCTCCATATTTTCGAGTTTGAGGAAATGAGGCAAAATTTAACGCCGGAGCGTCACGTGTAGCACGTGCACCGTTGGCCTCCGTCAAGTGTGCACATGTCAGCGCCACCTCAAACTTTTTTGACAACTTGGCATGCCAACTTGGACCCCCATGAGCTGGAAGTCTACCTGCTACCAATTTTATTTGTGGGCCCCATCGCTGACTAAAGGTTTAAAAAAAAAAGAAAAAGACAGATGAATGCAAAGAAATCTATTTAAATGATCCCTAGGGCACAAAGAGTTTTGAGTTTCCTTCTCTTCTCTGATCTTCAGATTCACGCCCATTTCATTTACTTGTTCAATTGCTAGCTCCAGCAGCTCTCACACTTCAGCACTGGTGGAATTTGGAAGACACGAGTATGATTACGAGGGGCCAAGTCGGTTTTGCTATTGTGGTTTGAAGGCTCCGAGGATCATGTCTTGGAGCAAAAAGAATCCTGGTCGAAGGTTTTTTGGATGCCCAATCTATAATCCCATGGTAATTTCTTCCTTAATGTTTGATTTTAAACTAGTGTGTTGTTAGGGGTTTTTATGTTAAGATATTTCGCAGGTACTGTGTGGTAATGTTTAGGGTTTTGCTTGGCATAAAGATTGGGTTTTGATTAATTGTTAATGAAATGTGATTTTTGGACATTTGCAAAATAAAAAGCGACAATGTAAGTATTTTGTGTGGTATGATCAAGATTTCTCTTTTAGAGCTAAGGAGGTTATCTCGTGGCTGCACAACAATAAGACAGAATTGGAAACTGATTTGGATGATGCAAGGGAAAGGATCAAAGCTCTTAGGAATGTTTTGAAGTGTTATGAAGAAAAAGGAGAGCAACAGATTAAGGCATTGGAGAAGAAAGTTAATGATTTGCAGATGTTGGCAACAATGACAATGGTGTATGCTGCGAAGCTAGAGAAATGGAAGAAATGTGATCAAATATCTTTGGTCGTGGCTGTTTTCCTTGCTATTCTACTTGCTTTTTTCTTGTTTAGGAGTTGGGTTCTACTTGTTGATGGGAACAGGGGTTTCAAAAGGCTTGAAAATTAAGAAACTAGGCAAATGGGGATAGTTTTGTTTTATGGGCATTATCTGTTTTTTGGTGGGCAATGTGGTTGTCTTGAATGGTAGTGTTGAAGGTTTGTAGATACTGCCCCCAATAATTTTAATATGGGGCCTCATTTCTCCCCAAGTTTTGTAATTTATTTTGGATATAATGAATATAAATTAACTTCTCCAGAATTGTTACCTCATTTTTTTAATATTGATCAAATGGAAATAGCTATTTG